CTTCCCTTCCCTTCCCTTCCCTTCCCTTCCCTTCCCTTCCCTTCCCTTTCCTTTCCTTCCCTTTCCTTTCCTTTCATGTTACCATTTTCAGTGTAACTGGCTAATACAAGGAAGTCAGATGAATAAGGAGGAATATGATAGAGTTCCTTGGATATTTTTTCTTTCTGCAGAAGAAGTGCTGGTTCAAGAAGAACATGTGGCCCTTTGGGGCTGTCAGTACCCACACTTACTAAGTCACAGACTTGACATACTTATATTCATTTTGAGTTTTCTGAACTCCCATGCATTATGGGTCCACTGGAATTCTATGTTCATGGGGCAAGGCAAATGTTACGTGTGAATGGGGTGGTAAGAAACAATAAATATGTATATTGCACATATCTCTTTTGCTTCTATGTATGCTCCATTGTTCCATTAGACTTCATTTACAAAGGGAGAGAGTGAGTGAATATAGAATATATATCTACAGGGAGAAATTGATCAAGGTGAAATAACTATGCAGTGTAATTCACTGGGAAGCAAGAAAATGGAGTATACCTGTAATGCCCCAAGCAAAAAGGAAAAAAAAAAAGCAAAAGGAAAGGAGGGAAAGAGGTCGTAAGTTGCATAGTTCTCCCCAACCACCCACCAAGTTGATTTTTGTCTGCAGTAAGTGGTTAATGAGCCATAGATGAGTGAAATTCTTGTGACTTGGCATGTACAGGCAGTAGAAAAAATTTCCTCAAAGCAGGCGCAATCCCAACAACCTGAGTGATGAGGTGTGATCCCAGAGATGAGGCTCTCTCTCGTGTTTCACTCCAAGATGTTTCACTCTTCCAGAAACTCTGTTGTGTTACTAAGACCTCATTCTGGGAAATGATTCCTTCCTGAATGTCAGTTAATCAGTAATTTTGTGTTATTGTTTTTTTTTCCTTTGAGTATCTGAACCCACAGTAGAGCTAAGTTTCAAAACGGGCACTTTGCATAGGCTACCCTTTTAATATTCCAATTTTAGAGACATCTTTGACATTTCTAAAACATCATTTTAGATTAAAGATGATAGGTTTAATTTCCATTGCCTAGAAAATATTGGTGTACATTTTAAAAGGCTCTGTGTTGCCTATATTCAAGACTAATTTAGTCAAGTTGATAGTCATTTTATTTTAATAGCATTTATTCCTCAAGAACTGTATTGAATTATACTGATACATTCAAAGCACAAAAGGAAAAATGAAGTACATAATGTAGTTTTATTTGTGCAGCACTGTTAGACACTTTGACAGACATGTTATTTAATTACTTTGTTTGCTGACTTGTTTTTTCCCAATAGTACAGATTAGTTATGT